TGGGCACAAAACTACAAGTTATAACAATTACATAACTACTACTGACCATTCATCAATTACTTTGATTATTATTAGTCCTCTTTCTTCCAATTACTCAATGTTAATTTATAATGGATATATCATTATATAATTATTACGTAATATATCCATCCGATGAGTATTATTTCATTATTGTAAATTAAATATTTACTGTATAATTCTCAGATTTTAGTAAAACCTTCTGTCATTTCGAATTCAAATACATTCGATTGTCTTCATTTGTGTTCTTGTTCACTACAGGAGCATTCAAATTAACATAATTTTCAGTTTAGGGGTTGTGGAGATTGTTAAGTTTTTGATTAACATTATGAACCGATTGATGTTAGACCACCATTGAAAACCTGGAAGCACTGGACGGCCGTTTGGTCCTATTGTGGGACTCCTCAACAGTGCGCATCCATGATCCCGCTCGTGGGATTCGAACTCAGGGTCTTCAGTCTCGCGCGCGAACATTATCTCGCTTAATTCAGTTAATGGAACTGGTTAGTATCACTTATACTCATATGTAAAGTGTAATTACAATTTGAGTGTATGGATATGTACTATATTATTGCATATTTTCAGAAATATGCATTTCATCTGTCTTGATTTATAACTTGGAATAAGGAATAAGTTTTTAAATGACGGAATGACTAAACGAAGTGATAGCCATAGTAAATAATGTTAATGTAGGTATATAATTGTTTTTGCCCCCAAATTCCCTGGTACGTCCGAGAGTGGGAAGAGTCCGCTCTCCCTATCCAAATGCTCGCACATGGCCACGCTTATATAGCCTCTGCCAGGAAAGTCCTACTCACTGCCTTCTCGCACCAAGGGTGTTGTTTACGAAATCGAGAGGACGAAAAACGAAACTCCGGCGCTTTAACCAGGTTGGTGGACATGGAGAGTCCACCTAGGGGAAGTTGGAAAACCTTGATTCCAAAACAATGGTACACATGGGCTCCAGTATCCTGATGGAACAAATGGCGTATGAACCAATCGTTGGTCACCGGTTACAATGGGACTGCATCTTCTTACGATGCTCCACTGCCTTGTGGATCAGACCTTCAGGTCGAAGGCTGGGGGTGTTACCTCCTAAGAGAACCACCTGCTTCGGTTTAGGCACCCGTTCAGTATCCTAGCCTTCACACAAATCGAATGATTTATGTGGCGCATATGTATTTGATGTCCCCTTGTACCAATATCTATGTGTTAGAATAAATAATAAGTGTTTTTTTAAATCCATTCACTCCTTGTATTTCGTCCAATTATGAATTTTAGAATTATTCCCTCTTGATTATGTAAATCAATTTTGTAATGATGAACTGTTAGAGCTAATCGGATCAGAAAATTTTAAATGTATTGCTCATCATGATACATTAGTCAATACTTACAGTTTAACTAACATTCACTACATACTACTAGTGTTTGATCACAGTTGTCTTAGAAATATAGCTCGCATCTGCTGGGATGACCGGGTAAGTAATAATAAGGTTAGACGCAAAGTATTAAGGAATGATAGTAAATCAGTTGATGAAGCTTTGAGCCTACATCGACTGAGATGGTTGTGCCACGCGTTACGTATGCTTGAACACTGATTACCACGACGCTCAATGCTTACTAGTGTTGGAGACGTTTGGAATTAAGTTAGAGGCGGCCAAACCAAAACGTGGCTTGAAGTGCTTGAAGTCACTAACTTCTAATCTGAGCCATGGCTCAGATCCAAATTACTTCGTACCTTTCTTTCTCCCTGTATTATACCCTTATGCACAATATTTCTTTTATATATTACTACCATTGAAGTAACTACTTCTATGAATGTGATGTTTATCTTGTTGTGCTAATGAGGTGTGGCAACTTGGACCGATTCATATATGTGCCTGATCCTATGCTGTAGCTGACTGACTGGCTAAATAATAGAGGTAAATCAGATCTGTAATTGGTCATGTTCAGGATAAACTATTTTACCATGTTCGGAATAACCTATTTATTTGTTTGATATACATTACATGTATATTCATAGCATTTACAAACGTTTTACATCAATTTTATACAATGAACTACTAAGGTCAAATAGACTATTCATATTTCCGATTGAATTTAAAATTAACTAATTACACTCATCCTCTACTAACTATAGTTTGATATCTTTAACATTTAATATAACTTACGTTCTTGATCGCTAAAATAATGGGATCAAATATTGATAATATGTATATGGCTAATGAGATCTTCATTTTATTCATTGATTGATCACTTTATAAATACTTTCACCTATTCGTTATATAATGAGAAGTGAATAAACGACAAGAGAAATACTAAAATCAGTTATCAGTAATCAAATTAGGCTGCATAGGTAGTTGGGAGTTAAATAGGTAGAAAGAGTTCAATACTTTACAAAAGTAAGATTGTCTTATATGAAGTTATGTGCTAAGATGGTGGTTGGAGGTAGTCAACAGGAATCCCTGGACCCAGATGTCGTGCTACTTGGCACTTGTCAGCAGGTGTAATTGTAATCCTGACGGAACTGATGCTCCTTGACGGATTCGATCCCGTGTCACCCAGCTTCACAGTTAGAAACGACTGCCAAGTAGCACGAAATCTAGATCCAGAGATTCCTGTTGATTACCTACAACCAGCGTCTTATCTCAACATAGTGCACGCAATGTTCAGTCACTTAGACTAATGTCCACAATGCTACTTGTTCGATAGAATTCGGTATGCACTAAGAAGGACCTGATATACATGACATTGATCACTATCCAGCGATCAATCAATTGTGAAGGTATCTTTGCTTAACTAAAAACATTCGCATACCATTTACAGCTTTTTTGTACTCATCTATGAATAAAATTGCTTCTATGATTGCGAATGGCAGTAATATTTCGTTGTTCAAGTTGAGTTAAACGGATTAAAGTCTTAATTTATGAACTGATGATGAAGAGTTGAGTACTTTAGTCCCTAAGTCACCTCTATACACATATAAAGCAGAAAACTCATATGAATATAGAGTTCATAAGCTATTAGATCACTGATAAATTGGACAAATCGGCGGTAACGTCTCATGTACCATCTTGTTTTCTAAATCAAACTTCATTGAAGCTTGGGAAAATTTACATTTGAACATAAAGTACTTCGTATTTGGACGGTGGTAACATGTACAGATTAGATTTAATGCGTATATACTCAGAATATAGTTGTAAAGATTCCTCAATAAACAATGTTCCGACTAGTGGTAATGTTATTGTGCATAAACAATTTCCCTACTTTATTGATTGTGTTTGTTCTTCTATATCCAGATGATTTGAAGAAGTGGAGGGTCCCATAAAATGACAAAGATAGTGAAACCTGCGAAACTCTTTAATGTTTTACTTAATAAATCTTTGATTTTATAAACACTTATCAGTGGCAGATGATGAGAAGAAACAAAGATATGTGTTGAAGTAATTCTACAATTTTCAGATTACTCGATAATTAAATTTTTATCAGAATGGGTTTTGTGGAGATTTTTAGAAATTTCACAGGTTGAAATCATGAGTCAATTGAAGCTAGACAACCATGGAAAACCTGGAAGCACTGGATGGCCGTTTCGTCCTAGTATGGGACTCCTCAGCAGTGGTGGACGGTTGCGCAAGTTCGTGGATTGGTTAAAGTTAGACACTAACAGCATTGGATTCCGGCTCAGTGATCTAGAGGCCGAAGGTCCTGGGTCCGAATCCACCATGAGGGATCTTGGATGCTCTGAGTAGTCCCATACTAGAACGAAAAGGCCATTCAGTGCTTCTAGGTTTTCAATGGTGATCTAGCTTAAGTCAACTCATGAATTGAACCATTAAATAACATTTTAAGCAATTGTGCTTATTAAAACTGTGAATTTGAGAAAACATGAATACAGTCCACAAAATATGAACTTATTACATCCCAATTGATTGCAGATAGAATCGTTAAAGTGTAAAACCTAACCATTTATTAACAGATCTCCAAGTGAATATATTGAAAAAGTATCATTTGATGAGTCTACATCATTAACATCACCATAAGCATTCTAGCATTCTTGGTTTATTAAATGTTACAGAAAATTATAGTTAATTCAATAATTGTATTCATGAATGAATTTAAGCTAGACTACCATAGAAAACGTGGAAGCACTAGACGATCGTTTTATCTTAGTATGGAATAGTATATTTAATCCATTTGTAACAACTATTTTGTAATGATGCCTTGTTTAATTAAATATTTTTTTTCTGATCAAAACTGTTGATTGATCGGTTACTTGAATAATGATCAATGTTATGTTTATCTAATCTTTTAATGTTGATCGGGCTTTATCAATCAAACTACAATATGGTTATCATTCTAATTGATTAATCATCAAATAGGCTATAATTAACTATTATATGATTGAAGGTAATTTAATGTTAGTTTACAGTTGTCAACAACATTTACTTGAAAACTCAAAAGAACTAATGATAATCACTATGGTATATGAACCTGTTTCACTTAAGTCTATAGTCTTCACAAGATTACAGATATGCCTTGGTGACATGTATTAACTAGCACAAAATATAGATGCAAGATTTTCTGTCGACTATCCAACCATTTAAATAATATTATTCTCTTAATCAAGATAAACTGATCGATTGAGATCATGAACCGATTGATGTGTGATCACCATTGAAAACCTGGAAACACTGTACAGTCATTCCGTCCAATTGTGGAACTCCTCAGCACTGTTGGATACTGATTCAGTGGTCTAAATGTTAAACATTCCCGCGTAAGACTGAAAGATTCTAGTCGGGCGAGTGGGGTTCGTGGCTGAGTACTTCTAAGGAGTTCCATACTAGGACGAAATGGCCGTCCAGCGCTTACAGGTTTTCAATAGTGTTCTAACATCAATCAATTCATGATCTCAATCAAAAACTTAACAATCTCCACAACCTTTATCCTAATAATAAACGGATTGATTAAATCATAGGTCATACTCATAAAAATTCAGTATTATATTTTTCTCTTTGATTACAAATAAAATTATCATTTTTGTATATATTGCCATGATTGTGTGTGTGTACGGGTGTGTGTGTGTGTGTGTTCGTGAGTAGATTGATAAAGAAGAAAGAATTTCAAAAGAAATTAAACCGACCACCAAGCAACTATGAAAAGAAATTGAGTTTCATTTTAGTTAAGGTACTTCATTCCATGCGTATTCATAACATTACACTAACATATTACCATTATCATCATTATTATTACGTAACCGACTAGGTAACTATACAAAACTAGATTTCATTAATCCTGTATAAGCTTGTGAATTCCCATTCGTTTTACAAATATTCTGTTGATTTAATAATGAATGATTGTTCAAATCATTTGATAATATACCATTATTCTTTATATTATTATTATTATTATTATTATTATTATTATTATTCATTAATAGATGAGTATTGTGTAATATCCAATTAGAATCATTTTGTTTATTATGTAATACAATTGGTAATGATGATAATCCTGTTGTTGTTGTTGTTGTCGTTGGTGGTGATGATGGTGATGTAATATTATTATTATTATTACTATTATTATTATTAATATCTAAATTTGAATTTTGTGCATTGACTGGTTGTTTTAATTGTTTCATATATAATTGTGGTATATTTGAATTTGTTATATTATCTTGTTTTAATTGATTTGAATAATATACTGGTAAATCATTCCAACAATTCAATGATTGATAATCATCTTAATTGAGGAAGTAAAAAAAGGAACAATATACAATTATTAATAATGAATATTTTTTGAATCATCAATAAAAACATTAACACCATTTGATGGTCTAGTTGTTTAAGTGCCTGACGTGAGACTGATAGGTCTTCGGTTCGAGTCTCGCGGGGTGCGGGATCGTGGATGCGCGTTGCTGAGGAGTCCCATACTAGGACGAAACGGCCATCCAGTGCTTCCAGGTTTTCAATGGTGGTCTAACATCAATTGATTCATGATCTCAATCAAAAACTTAACAATCTCCACAACACCTAAACTGATGATTACCATGTGCTTACTAGTGACTAGCTTCGTGAGAGAGTTCTCGGAGTTCTGGTGAGAAGGCGTAATCAGTAGAGCCAATCCGTGTCGGGTAGAAACAGGTGTCTTCCTCAGTACAATGGAAGATAGTTGCGCAATTTCATGGATTGTTTGAGGTTAGACACTAAAACCATTGGATGCCTGCTCAGTGGTCTATTTGGTTAAGAGCCTGGCGCGAGACCGATAGATCCTGGGTTCGGATCCTGAGAGGCGGGGTCGTGGATACACACTGCTGAGGAGTCCCTTACTAAGGCGAAACGGCCGTCCTGTGCTTCCAGGTTTTCCATGGTTGTTTAGCTTCAAATGACTCATGATTTCAATCAGAAACTTAACAATCTCCAAAACACCCAAACTGATAATAAAAGTACAATCAGAGGTATTATGGTGGTTGGTAATATGCATTAAAAAAGAATGAACATTGTTCAGATATCGATTCTTGTACCGTTAACATCTAACTAGCAACCACTAACTAACTAGTTAGACTGTCTTTAATTACTACTAAGTCTAAACATGTATCATATTTGTGGTGTAATCACAATTTAAGAATCTTGCTTAAAGGATTTACAAGATGATTGTTGAGTATCACTACACGAGTTCAATATCTATCGTCAGGATTGATCAAACAGTAGAAAAGGGAAACTTGTTGAAATATTTTGTGTTGAGAATTCTATATTGTACGATGAATATAATACTACTTATATTATTACAGACAAAGAACTCCTGATTGGAAATATATTAGAGATATCTGGATTAGAGAAATCCCGAAAATAGCATAGAATTTGTAGAACCTTGACATTCAGGTCATTCTATAATCAACATACACATTGTTATAAATTCAACTGATTAATCTGTTTGGAATGGGCCAACTAATTACTTGATCATTAGTCGACTGAAAAAAAGATGGCTAACAAGAAGAAATGGACAGATAAAGATGATGGAAACTATGAAGATAGCCAATTAGAGACAATTTCACCAGAATCTCAGCCATCAAACTATCTACGTCAGAGAGCTAGACAATATTTGACAAACTACTGGCCGTTTTACAACTTGATCTGTTGTTTAGTTAGAACTAAGAACTACGAAAATATGACTTTCTTACTTACTTATTCATCTAGCTATATGAATCTAATGTATATTTATATTATTCAAAATTCCAAGAAGCGAGATTAAAAGTAAGAACATGTTAGAATATAAACATTATTAGTTATTCTGCCAAAATGACTGTTAGGAAGATCCAGAAAACTCCTCGAAAAAAGCGCTGACAACTTTGAGAAGCATGTTATCCAATCGGCATTCAATAGAAGTTTCTCTAGAAACATCTAGATAGTGAAAAGTCATATGTCGCGTTTCTAATTGCATATTATCCAGATTGCTACTATGTTTAGTAGAGTCCCAGAATTTTCCGGAAACCCAAGTTCATCTAAAATACTATAAATACCCTAGATTTTCTGTACATAAACGAACCTTTGAAGTAAAGCGTTTTTTCTTATAAAAGTATTTCATGCTTTTTCTCTCATGTTCAAGTCACTGTGTAGATTTACCCTTTTGGGTTACTAGAAGAGTTTAGGAACTGAATCTAATGTTCAATTCAAAGACTTATCAGTTACTCCGGATAGTTTCTACTCTCCGGTAATCTGGTATTTTAAAGAGAACCATCATACTTTAGTTGATGTTTAAAACATTAATCTACAGTTTCAAAAGAAAAAAAAAAGAGATGGATAAAACTTACCTGATATTACTGGTATATTATTAGTAGTATTTACACATATTGGACTGTAGGGTCCATAATTTATAGAATGATGAATATTTGGATTATATAAACGTGAATTCATCATATCTACAGAATAATTTAATCTGAATGGATTCATCATTTGTCCTGTAGAAGATGATAATACTGATGTTGATGATATTGACAATGGATTTGAATTGTTAATTGATAAATTACAACTGATTGGTAACACTGATGTTGATGAGGTTGTATTCACATGTGCATGATCCATATTCATAGTTCTATTTTTATTTAGTTGTCGTGTAAGTAACCGTAATAAAAATGACTTTTTAATAGTTGTATTGTTTTTATTAGTATTTGAATTGGATAACTAGAAAATAATTAAAAGAAAAAGATGTCATTGTTAAATTCACTTGGTATTGTTTGGTTTGTATCTTTCAATTGAGGTTTAAGACTGCGATTGATCAGTCTGTTATTGGCATATGTTTATACTGTGAGTATGTCTCGATATTGCCTTCATTCACAAACAAGTGGCTATCAGGACTCAGTAGCTGAATGGATAACGCGATGGCGTTTGAAGCTAATGGTATTGGGTTCGAGTCCCAGAGTGAACATCAACTCTGAGATGCAGGTACATCCAGTTGACGAGTCCCAGGTAGGACGAAACACGCGTCAAACTGGATTCCACTGCTAGCTACTATCCATCGATGTAATTGTTAGTTATAGAAGTATTGAAATTCAGATATGATTGGTTTAAAAGATACAATCATATTTGAAAATTATGAATAAGGTCGTTTGTGTTAAGTCACAAACTAAGATTTGCATAATATCCAAATTCTGGCTGACTTCACAACTTGAAGTGAGATTATATTCATTTGATATTCATTCCTCTGGAAGAGGTGGAAACTTTCATGTAACTGAGAAGTATCATCGATGAACAAGGAGGATCTAATACAGAAGTAAAGGCAACGATTGGTAAAGCAAGGAAAGCATTCCTACATAGTTGAAGAACATATGAAACTCAAAACAACTATCAACCAATATTAAAGTCAGAATCTCCAATACCAGCGTCAAGGCAGTTCTACTGTACGGAGCTAAACCGTGAAGAATGACTACCACCATCATCAAGAAAGTAAAAGTATATATATATATATATATATATATATATATATATATATATATATATATATATATATATATATATATATATATATATATATATATATATATATATAAACAGTTATCTACGTAAGATACTCAATATCCATTAGCCGAATACCATCTGCAACAGCTAACTGTGAAAAAGAACAAACCAGCTTCCATCAGCAGAAAAAATTAGAAAATGACTATGGAAGTGCATTAGACATACAATACGGAAATCATCAAACTGTTTCACAAGGTAAACCCTAACTTAGAATTCTGAAGGGAAACGGAAAAAAGGAAAAGTTAAAGAACACACTACGTCGGGAACTGGTAGCAGACATTAAAAGGATGAATTAGTAACTGGAAAGGACTGTCTAGAATAGAGTTGGATGAACAATGCTGATCGGTGGCCTATGTTCCTCCACGACAACTAACAGGCATAAGTTATATATATATATATATATATATATATATATATATATATATATATATATATATATATATATATATATATATATATATATATATATATATATGCGCACCATTTTGGCATCTAATTAGTTAATTAATTAATTAAATTTTGTTTCCATCGCATTTAACAAACACACACACACACACGCACAAAAGAAAGAAAACATATTCATTATTTTCCAAAATCAATTTCTTCTCTTTTTCTCTTTTTTCTTCGTTATTCTTTTTTCTAAAATTTTTCTCTAATATTTCATTTCATTATTTTAATCAATTTGTAACCAATCCACATTTGAGTTTAATTTTAATACCTAATTTTTCTTTTGGGTTGTATATACAAATTTTATTAGATTTCTTCCATCTAATTCTAATTCATATTGGTCACGCTATATTAAAAAAAAACCCCAAAAAAAGAAAATATTTTTGTGTATTTTATAAAAATGAACAAATATATATTTAGTTGTCATCTGAGTGTATATATGTGTGTGTGTTTGTGCGGGGGGGGGTGTGACTGTGAGTGTGAGTGTACGTTAACTTGTTTACATATATATTGTTTGGGAAATTTGTGTTCATCCAATGAATAAAGAAATAAGTCAAATCAAATTTATCCCTGTGAAATCAATTAGGAATATGAGTTTCTGAGTGTTTTTTTTTTATTATTTTACTCTCGTTCCTTGTTTACCAATTGAATATATATAGATAATAAATTATAAAGAAAAGGAAATTATGTGAATAATTCTACTCTAAATTGTTGTTTTGTTTTTTTTCACCAGAAAGGGGTTTTGTGAAGATTGTAATAATTTAATGGTTGAATTCATGAATTGATTAAGGCTAGATCATCGTGGAAAACCTGGAAGCACTGGACGGCCGTTTCGTTTTAGTATGGGACTGTTCAGTAATGCGTATCCACGATCTCACTCAAGGGATTAGAACATAGGACTTAGTGACTAGCTTCAACAGGTATTTCCTGAAGTTCTAGTGAGAAGTAGTGACCAGTGGAGTTCAACCAGGTCTGTTGTGAGATAGTAAATCACTGAAGACAATGGTGAATGTGTCACACAATTTCATGGATTTGTTGAAGTTGGATATTAACATCTTTGGATTCCGGCTCTGTGGTCTAGGGGTGAAGCACTTACTCGTGAGACTGATAGGTCCTGGGTTCGAATCTTGCGAGGCGGGATCTTGGATGCGCACTATTGAGGAGTCCCACAATAGAACGAAATAGCCATCCAGGGCTCCTAGGTTCTAGTAGCGGTCTAGAATACAGTGACTCATGAATTCTAACATTAAATCAAATTTTAAGCAATTCTGTCTATTTAAACAATGAATTTGAGAAAGCACGAATAAAGTACAAAAAATTTGAAATTATTGCTTCTCAACTGATTGCAGACAGAATCGTTAAAGTGTAAAACTGTTTACCTAACCATTTATTAACAGATCTTCAAGTGAATATGTTGAAGAAAGTGTTATCTGACGAGTCCACACTTTTGTTCTCGTTCACTAAATTAGTAATTATTGGTTGAATTAATGAGTTGATTGAAGCTAGACTACTTTGAAAATCCTGAAAACACTGAACGGCCGTTCCGTCTTAGTATAAGACTCTTCACCAGTGCGTATCCACGATCCCGCACACGGGATTTTTTTATATACTTTGAAATGTAAGAAATATTTATTTCAATGATCTTGTGCAAGCTAATGAGAACTTAAAGTGGACTAATCCCATAGAATAAATCAGGTAGAAGACAATAAATTTTCATATGCAAATGAAGCTTATACTCTTTTTATAACCTTTTGAAATATTATTTTTTTAATGTTTTATGGACGTATTAATACATCACGTGACTAAATCGCCAATTACGACACCGATTTATATGATATTGGCACTGTGCCAAACCAATGACGCATAAACCAGTACGGGCAACCTTGAGGAAAGATGGATAGTGGCTATCAGTGGAATCCAGGACGCGCGTTTCGTCCTATTTGGCACTCGTCAGTTGGATGTACTGCATCTCAGAGTTGATTTTCACTCTGAGACTTGAACCCAGTACCGTTCGCTTCAAACGCTATCGCGTTATCCACTCAGCTACTGAGTCCCGATAAACACTTGCTTGTGTAATGGGATGAATTTCAATTCACTTGGTATTGTTTGGCTTGTATATTTCCATTGAGGTTTAAGACTGCGATTGATCAGTCTGTTATTGGCATATGTGCATACTGTGAGTATGCCTCGATATTGCCTTAATTCACAAGATTTTTGTAAGCAATGATGGATAGTAACTAGCAGTGGAATCAGGAACGCGCGTTTCGTCCTATTTGGGACTCGTCAGCCGAATGTTACTGCATCACAGATTTGATTTTCACTCTGAGACTTGAACCCAGTACCGTTTGCTTCAAACGCTATCGCGTTATCTATTTAGCTACCGAGTCCTGATAAATTGCAGACCTAAACATCAATGGGGATATTCAAGTAAATAACACCATGTGAATTTAAAATGAATATGGTTTAATATTATTTACCGTATTTAAAAGTTTATAGAAAGATAGAAAATATTGAATCATAAAGTGACTCGAGATTTTAAAATATATCAAATGAGGTTAGGGTAATAAACAGGGGATTTCTAAATTTCTAAACGTAAATTACAAATTTGTAACCTTTTGTATAACCCTTGATCGATTGTCTGAGGTTCACAACTGTCTCAGACCCAACATGGATTGGACTCTACTAGTCACGGATTCTCACTAGAACTCCAAGAAATCCGTCTTGAAGCTAGTTATTAATGAGTGTATGATTATTATCAGAATGGAAATTTGTGGAGATTGTAATAGACTGAAGTTAGACATCAACACCGTTGGTTGTTAGATCAGTCATCTAAGGGATCGGCGATCAAAATTCCTTTGGCGTGGGATCGTACATGCGTCCTGCTGAATAGACTCATAAAAAATGACGCAGATGTCCACTACTTCCAGCTTTTCGTGCTATTAGGGACTCGTCAACTGAAAGCACATGTATCATAGAGAAGACATCCACTCCAGTAATAGAACTAAGTACCATTCGTTTCAAATGCCGTCATGTTATCCACCTATCATAAAATATGTGTGTGGCGCATATATATTGGCGCTCTCTTGTACAAATCATAAAATGTAGCTTATAATATTCGAAACTTAATGGAATATGGACGCAATGCTCACATAATTCTCATATATCAATTAAAAACTGATCAATTGCACTCTCAAACATCAATGCAAAAGATTCAAACATACAATACAAAACAGATTCACTTTCTTGATTCTCCAAACTCATCAATTCGCTTCTTCTTCTTTATCATTCATGATGATTTCCATTCCTCAATTCAAATCACAACAACCATTATACATTAACAATAAACACTATTATAGCAGATGTACAACAATCAAAAATGATTAAACCGAATCAATCAAACTATATACTACTTAAATACTAATCGAACACATGTTCATTTTCAAATAGAAATGTATATTAAGTGAAGGGAGTAAAGACAAACAGCCAGTAATCTACACTCACTGTGACCTACATCAAAACAAATCATCATTGACTAATCAATGAAGTTTGTAATTCTCCTTTCAAGTTTCAATTGACTTAAGTTAATTACCTCTCACCCTCTCTCTCTATCTCTACCTATCTCTTATTTTGCTACTTCATTACAAAGTCAAGTACCTCTTCACAGTTCCAACATAGTTGTAATGCGATTTACAATGTAATGAAACTATGAAAATGGAAAT